CGTGCCGGAGCGGTGCAGTGGTGGTGGTGCGGCCAAGGCAAACGTGCTGTGGAGTGGAGCTGCTCAGAGCTAACCCAGCACCCTCCAGCCCTGGAATAAGAAAGTGTGTTCGGAAATGCTCCAGTATGAAGTTTTGGGGTTACTAAGGAGAGGTGTGAACGTGTGCGCACACTCGGTGCTTTTACAGCACCCTGCACAAGATTAAATGGCAAGTTTTACCTGCTGGGAACGGGCTCTGCGTTGAACTTCATGGGCACAGCAGCTCCCCTGGTCCTTCCGCTGGAGGGCTGGCATGTGCGGGTGATGCCGCTGGGAGCTGTTGGGTGATGGATCTGGGCCAGGAGCTGTGCGGAGCACCGCGTCAGTGAAGCACATGTGCCAGGATGCAAACATGTATGCGAAAGAGATCCCGGCTGTCTAAATAATGTGAAATACTGACTAGCTCTCGCAGATGGTACTCCACGTGCAGCTTCAGGGACAGAACTTCTGTCTCCTGTTGGGTTTTGGTGTGATGTTGTTTTGATCCAGTTGAATGCTGGACTCTTGACAAACTTGTTGTGTGGTTGCTTTCAGTGGGATTGTTGGATTTTGGGGAGATTCGTTGCTAATGGGGTCTGAGGGGAAGGGAGGAGGTTTGCAGGGGGCTTGATTGGCTCCTTCAGACTCCTGACGGCTTTTAATCGGTGTTTAAATGATGGCACCAACTGGGAAGCTGGTTCTCGCAGAGCGTTGGGGTTTGTAGTATTGCACGGGTGCCATTTGGTGGCAGTGTTGCAGAGGAATTGCTGCCTGTAGCCAAGAGCTCGTGTTATTACCACTATTACGGTGATTGTATTCACTGATGAAATGTTGCTGATGATTATTTGCATGAGGACCTTGGCTGGGGGGCCCACTCTTGGAGGAGGCCCCAGTGTCCAGGACATAATCTGGACCGCTGGCAGCTGGGCCCTGGGGACACTCGGCTTTTGTATCAGCTCGTGGGGAGGCAGCAGGTTTTCTCCTCTGTTTTGCCTTCCTCTGGGATACGGTGCTGGTTTTGGGTACGTGAAAGTATGCTTTGTGTGAGCTGCTGTGGAGGATGCTCTCGCGCTTTCCCCAAAGTCCGTATCCAGTGTGGGGCAGCTGCGGCGGGGACGGGCTGTGTTGGCAAAGCTGTGCTGGCAAAAGGGTCTTATCGTTGCTCGGGAAGCTTGTTGGGGAGTGCCCTCACCCACAAGTCGCTGTACTTGTGATAAAAGAGCTTATCGGCCAGGTGGTTTGGTCGTTTAGCCTGCAGATTTAAGGCTTTGCTCAGAAAGCAGCACGCTCCATTTGCAGCCCACCGGCTGAGGTGCAAGGGGTGAGCTGGGGGACCTGCAGTGGGAGGTCAGTACCTGAAGTGGGGGGCCCGAGCAGCGCTCCCCACCATGTGCGATGTGCGTTGCCACACGCGTCCTTGCAGCCGCTGCTCCTGGCGCGCGAGGGACCGACAGCCACAACAGTCTGTGCTCCTGCGGGGCTCGTTCCAAAGCGGCGTGCTGCTTGGGCTGAAACATGTTTCCCTCTTCTGTTTCCCATTTTCTGCAGGCTTTTCCCATCTGCCTAACGGGCTCTACCCGTCGTACATTCCCCTGAGCCACCTCGAGCCCCCCAGCGCCGGCAGTCCTCTCCTGGCCCAGCTGGGTCAGCACAGCCTCTTCGAGTCACAAAAAGGTGAGTCTGGGTCCCCGCGCACCCATCCTCTTCGTCATCCCTGGGTGCTCGCCCTGTCCTTGGGGCTCGCTTGGCTGCTGGAGCTGCTGGATGCTGGGACGATGAGGGGGAAGAGCAGGAACCCCTTTGGATTATCATCCAGAGATGCCTTAGCAATACCAAGGTCTTGGATGTGGCTGTGCTGTAGGGAACCTGGCCAGGTCCCTCCTTGAAGCCCCAACTTGCTGCTACATCGCAAGTCTCAGCGTGCATCAGAGACAGGGCTGTCCTGCGTCCCCATCTGGGCTATGTGGAGGTACTTGCCAGGTCTCCTCTGCCCTGGTCCTTCCTGGCCATGTCTGAGACATCCTTGAAACCCATTCCCTCCCAATTTGCCACCTCTTGTCTGTCTCTGTGTAGGACTGAAGGGATTGGAGACCCATGGTAATTTTGTTTGCTTTTGCTCTGCAGATGGGTTCTACCTGTCCGGCCATGCGGGCCAGTCTGCTTTGCACCCGCAGCCTCCTCTGTCGAGGACCGCGGGCAACCACACGCCGAGCACTCTGCTCCGGGAGAAGGACCTTGGGCAGCTGCACAAGAGCTCGAAAGAAGGCCTGAAAGACCCTGGCGCGAAGGAGCGGACATGCCGGGGCGATCTGTCCCTGCCCTTTGCCAAGAAGGAGGGCAAGCCGAAGGAGGAGCCCCGGCCCCGCAGCGTGGTAGACCTCACGCAGGACACCAAGCCCGACAGCGACCGGAAAGTGAGCGTGGTGGAGAAGGCGGTGAAGGTCGGCGAGCGTCTCTCGCCGTTCCTGGCTGAGCACATGCCAAATCGGGGCACGAGTGGTGGGGAACCCAAGTCCAAGAACCCGCTGCAGAGCTCTTCCCTCAGCAACTGCAACGGCGGCGGGGACCCAATGCTGAAGGTCCTGGGTGCCGAGCAGGACCGCTGTGCCAAGGATCCCGCTCGGCACGATGAGAACATGAGGCCTTCTGCGCACGCCCATGCTGAGCGGCTGAAGCGGGGGGAGCCCCTCCTGCCCTCCGTGGGTGCTTTGCACGTCTCCTGCAGCTGCCCGTCCCCGCACCCCTCGCAGCCGGGGAAGATGACGCCGGCCACGACATTCCCTCCGCAGCCCGTCCATTCCAGCATGTACACCATCTTCCCGCCGGCCAAGGAGCTGGGGAGGGAGCACAAAGTCATCGCCCCCACCTTTGTGCCTTCGGTCGAAGCCTACGACGAGAGGAGCGGGCCCATCCAAATCGCCTCGCAGGCCCGCGACAACAAGGCAAAAGACAAGGACCTCGGCAAGGTGGGGGTGCTGCAGTCACCCACGGAGCGGTGCCTCGCGGACGCCTCCCGCACGCTCTTGTCCCAGGACTTTTCTTGCCACAGCGATGCCAAAAGGATGGAGGCTCTGAGGGAGAAGGGCTCGGTGATCAGGGCGAACTCCATGGCGCTGAAGAGACAGGTCGCTTCGGAGCCCTTCCTCAATCGACCGGGGCTGGGCTCTCCGGAGAGCAGGGAGTTCCTGGCTTCCAAGGACTTGCTGAAGCCGAGCCCGGAGGCAGAGCATCGCCCCTGCGAGCGGGACCGCTTCCAGCGATCCAGCTCCAAAGAAGCGGCGAAGGTCTATGGCACTTTGGACTCCTCCCGGCAGCACCTGGACCACAGTCAGCTGAAACCGCCTGAGCAGAAGTGGAAGCCCTTTGAGATGGGCAACTTTGCCACCACGCAGATGGCAGTGCTGGCCGCGCAGCACAACCACGTCACCCGGGCGGAGGAGGAAGCCAAGAAGGTCTACCTTGACCCCAGTGGCTTGCCACGGTCCTCGGTGGTGGGCTCACGGGGTGCTGCGGATGTCCTCCACCCCGCCTCCCACGGTGAAGGGTCGGCCATGCAGAGCCTTATCAAGTACAGCGGCAGCTTTGCCAAGGAGACTGCGTCCCGGCAGAGCTGCGGCAAGAAGAGCCCCTTTGGCGGCTTGGGCAACATGAAGTTGGACTCTTCGCAGTTGGGTGCCTCCAAAGTGCAGCAGCTGCTGTCGCAGCAGCCAGCGAAGCAGCTGAAGAGGGACCCTGAGAGACCCGAGAGTGCCAAATCCTTTGGCCGTGAGAGCATCGGCTCCCAGGGCGAGGTCGAGGTGAGGCATTTGCCTGTCGGCATCGCCGTGGCCGTGGCCCGGCAGAAGGACAACGTCAGCAGCAGCAGCAGCATCTAACTGGGGCCCAGCTTGGCGGATCGGGATCGCTCGCTGTCTCTCAGCAGCATCAAAGGTAGGTTCTCCAGACCCGTCTTGGGACTTCCCTGTGGGATCTGTTCCCTGGGGAGAGCAGCCACCCAGTCCAGGCCATGTGGCATGAGCTGAGCTTGGCATCCTCAGCTCTCTTTGCCTCCTGTTCCCAGCCAAGGGCACATTGTAGACCACAGCAGGGAGCAGGACTCCCCATGCAAGAGGGAGTCCCCTTTCCCCCATGCCATCCCCTCTGTCCACCTCCGAGGACAAGCCTTCTCCACGTGTTTGATCGCTGTTAGCAAAGGGAGTGACAGAGAAACCCCTTAATCCACCTTTGTGCTGGTGTTTTAGTCTCACGATTTAAGGAGGGGGATGGCTCCGGTGAGCATAATGGTGCTCTGCTTGGCTTGTGTAGCAAGATAACACTTGGGGGCTGCTCAGCGCGGAGAGAGCTCGGCTCTGGTGTGCCAAGGAGCGATGCCAAAGCGAGTGGCCGGTGACCAATGCTTGGGTTTCCATTTTTAGCCTTTGCTTTTCCCATTTTTCTGTCTTTGCTCCCTTCTCCCAAACCTCAACGGCGAGAGGCAGTTTCTCCCGGCCGGCAGCCCCTCTCTCCGTTCCCATCGCCTCCCGTCGCCCTCCCCGTGGCCAGGCGGGAGCCGACTGAGGACCTCGTGGGCAGCACAGGGAGCTGTTTGTTCAGCCGTTCAATCGTCCCAGACCCTCCCAGCTTGTGTTAAATGTAATTTACTGAGCCGAACTAAAAGGCTGCAAACAAGGGTTGAATTCTGGCAGGCCTCCGGGCTTGTTGCTAAGTGATGCAGTTGGCTTTCAGACAGAAAACAAGACTGCTTTTCTCCTCCTCTCGCCCCCCAAATGCTGCCCCCCCTTTGTGTGCCAGGAGATATTCGTCTAATAACATTAGCTTGCTTGCGCTGAGTGGACGGTGCTTGAATGTTTAGACCTTTTAAGAAGGAGAAAGCAGGCTTTAGTTGGCTAATCTGTAGTATTTGGCAAGTAAAATGCAAGTATTTAGTGCCGGGCATTGGTTGTCAAGGAAACAGACCTAAGCCTTTCCTCCATGCATAACTGATTGAATTTTTCTATGCAGTCCGTGCGTCATGTTCATATATATAGACAAAATGATCATTCACTGTCTGGACAATCATCGGTCTGTACAGAAAAGGGACCGTCCTGTTGGTGGGGTGGGGGCTAGGCGGGAATTAGACGAAGAAGAAAGTGTGTGTGTTTGGATGGGGGATGAGAAGAAGATGATAAACCCGTCTATAAATAACGGAGCGCAAGTAATGTTGATGGGAGGAGCAGAGGTAAAATAACAAAATGATATGTTTCTAATAAAAGGCTGGGGGGGGGGTTTTCAACTCACCTTGTGCCAAGGAGGGGAGGGAGGCTATGAGTTAACCAAGGGCTTGGTCCATATTGCTGACACTGAAGAGGCGGTTGGGCATCGATTGGGGAAAATAAATAGGAAAAGGGGCTCCAAGGGGGTAAAACCTGGACTAGGGAGTGGAAGGGGATTTGTGTGCAAGTGGGGATGCTGGTGGAGAGGCAGGGAGGGATGCTGGGGCTCCAGAGGGATTCGCGAGCCCCGGTGCCTCATGCCATGGAGGCTGGGTAGTAAAACTGAGCGTTGGAGGCTGCATAGGCCATCGTTCAGCGAGTCGAGGAGGGGCTGGTTGGGGACAGCCACTGCACGCGCTGTCCTGGTAGACTGCAAGGGAAATGTGGTGACCCTGGAAAGTCCTTTGGGAGGGAGAGGTGTGTGCCAGGTTTTAAAGCATCTTTGCTTTCTGCCTGAAGCCCGTGGAAGGAGCCTTGGGGAGAGGAGCTGGGAGAGATGTTGCCTTGTTCCTGGATTCCTTCTGACAGTAAAGGCTGAGGGAATTGGAGACTTGACAGCAAAAAAACCACGGGCTGTCCAGGTTTGTGGAAATACACAGTGGAGCCCTCCTTGAAAAGACTGCCTGTCAGCAGAATAGACTTGATGTTCCGAGATGCTTTCCCGTGTGCCAAACCTTATCCAGACGGGAGAGCGAGGACCCTGGAAAGGGCTGCTAGGAACCAGGGTGCAGCCGTGCGAGGCTGTGCTGCACCGCTGAGCCCTGCGGGGTGCAGAGCATCGCCCGGGCAGGGGATGTGCTGGCGGGGTGCACCGAGAGCTGGGGGGAAGCAAACACCTTCCTCTTGGCCCTGTTAGACTGGCCAGCAGCTCGCTGCAAGCAGGGCTGGGGTTTAGGAAAGGGTCATATCACCAAAGCATAACATGGACAGTGGCAACAGGGAATTATGGAAAAATGCATAGGCAAGAAAGAAACCAGGGAAAAAACTAGGGAAAAGCAAGCCTAAAATCAGGCAGCTGGGGTGAAGACCTTGGATAAAATAAGGGAAGGGTGGCCACAATACCTGGTCCTGGCAGGGCCAGCGAGGAGCTGCTGTTCACTCCTGTGAAGGTGCTTCCTAACCTCTTGTAGTCACGGCTGCTACTATGCCAGGCTGTATTTGCAAGAGCTGTTCTGATTCTGGATGAGTCATTTCTCGAGCCAAACATCCAGCCCCCCTTTTTGGACTCTTGCCCTCATCTGCCATATGTGCTCCTGCCTCGCCAGACCCTTTCTTGTTGCATGGCTTGGGGTGGGGGATGCAGATTCCCACTAACGGGTTGAATTAGAGTGCGGAGCACGCTGGTTTTCTGAGGGTCCGTAGAGTTGATTCTGTCTGTTGCAGAAGGACAGGGCTTCAGAGCACACCCAGTGCTCCCAGACTGGTTTACAAGGGCAGAAGGTGCTTCAGAAGGTGCAAAGATAGAATCCGCCCCCTGTGACATGTGCTAAGCAGGACTGTGTGGTTTGATGCAGGGATTTAGCTGGGCCTCGTCTCCTTCTGAGATGGGAAATCTGCCACTGTCCTTCAGCAAAAATGGTCCCGTTGGTCCTGCTGCTCCCAGGCTGGTGGCTTTCCTGTCCTGGGAGACCGGCCTGACCTGGTGAGTGGGTCCCTTGATGGCTTGAAGACATGAACCTCAAACCACATGCACCTGGGTGCTACTAGGAGCTGCCTTAGTGAGAATATCTTGATCACATAGACAGCCTTGCCCTGTACTTCAGGGCTCGGACCTGATACGGTCTTGGGAACAGTGGCATTTGGGTGTGCTGGCTCCCAGGGTACTGCCTCTCCATGCGCAGAGGAGAGGGGACAGCTTTCTCCGGACTGTTTCTCATGTCTGATGGTGCTGGGTTGTCTCTTAGGGCACGGACGCTCGGAAGACGATTGCGGGGATGAGAGGAGCCGCCACCGGGACAGCCACCTCCTGGCAGGGCGCTTGGAGCGGGATCAGGAGAAGCTGCTCAGGTGAGGGTTGGAGGGGGATGGGGTCTCTTGCTGCAGTGCCACAAGCCATGCTTGGGGCAGCCGATCTGGAGGAGGGACAGGGTTGCATCCATCCTGGTGATGCTGCTGGCACCAGCCTTGCTGTTGTGGAGAGTAGTGCTGAGTGGGGTGCCATGGGGTTACAGGCAGATCCTGAATCCGCAGCAGAGCAATCCTAATAGACTGCTGCAAACCCATGCCTGCTCCAAAGAGATGGAGAGATGGGATGTTTTATTCTGGACGTGATGTTAAGCACCTCCATCACAGCTCTCCTTGAGCGTCTGACCCTAGTTTGCAAACACGCTTGCTCAGCAGAATGGTCCATACCCCTGGGCTCCTGCAGCTGCACAGTAACCTGCAGCTCTCAGACCCTCTCTCACTCTCTCTCTTGCCTCCCCCATGACCAGAGAGAGCAAGGAGCTGGCAGATTTTGCCCGGATACACCCCTCCGGCTGTGCCACGAACGGTTTGAACTCCAACCTCATGGTGACGGGAGGCCCAACCTTGACAGGCTCTGGGCGCTGGTCTGCAGACCCGGCTTCGCACTTGGCAGCCCACCCCTGGCTCCCCAGGACGGGGAGCCCCTCCATGTGGCTGGCCGGCCATCCCTACGGTGAGTGCCCTGGGAGGGAGCGATGTGTCCATGGGGTGTTCACACCGATGCAGTCCAGGAAGAGGTGTTGCTAAGTGCCCAGTGAGGCTGCTGTCTGATGACAGGGGAAAGGGAAGGAGGTACTTTGGAGCAATCAAATGTTAGATGACTTCTCGCATGAGCAGGAGCTGCCTGCATCCCCTGAGTTGTGACTGTGGTGTTTCTTCTTCCAGGACTCGGTCACCCTTCCCTGCACCAGGGCATGACTCCAGGCTTCCCCCCTGCCATGGGGGGAGCTCTCCCTTCTGCCTACCAGTTTGCCAGAGACCCGCAGTCGGGGCAGCTTGTTGTGATCCCCAGTGAGCACTTGCCACACTTCGGTAAGGATGTGAGCACGTCCGTGAGGACCATACTTTGACAACTGTGGAGAAAAAAGGCTTTGGAGAGGGCTGGATAGCAGCGTACGTACCTGTGGGCACCAGCAGCCACAGCTCGAGGGTGGGTGTGAGCTGGCATCTTGTTAGGTTTGTTTCAGAGACGGAAGAGTGTTATCTTCAGCAGTGGCTCCTCATCCCCTGCAGGACCCCGTAGACTTTGGGTCCTTGGTTAGGAGAAACTACTCATGGGCTCAGCCAGGGACAGTCAAACCAAGGGTGTGTAGAGAGCAAAGCGAGTCAGACGGCCTCAGGACCCATGGGTGGTGGGAGTGAGGCTGCCGAGGGGAAGACAGCACCCTTTCCCCTCTGCATTTCTGGTTGCATTTCTGCATAGCCCGATGTTTGGCATCCCCCACACCCTGGGATTGGGGTAGAGACAGCTGCGCTGCACGATCCTGAATCCTCTAGCTATCCCCATCCTCCTGCCTCCCTGACTGCATCTCTGCTCATTCCCCAGCGGAGCTGATGGACCGGGCACCCCCACTGTGGCCCGCTATGTACCCCCCGACCAGGAGCTCCCTCCAGCACGCTCACCAGCTCCAGCTCCTCTCCCATCAGCAGCTGCTGCGGCAGCACGAGCTGTACATTCTGCAGCAGCAAGCAGCTCACGCCATGGAGCTACAGAGGAGTGCCCAGCTTGTGGTACGTTTTCAGGAGCTTCTTGCTTGGACATGAAATGAGCCTGAAGTTGGGGTGTCTGGGGGGGAAAAAGCAGTTGTGCCAGTGTTGCAAGTGTGTCTCAAGGGTACGGATGCACTGAGTGATCCTGCCCTGGTCCCTGGAATATGAGGCATTCAGTGCATCCTGCACAGTTGGGGTGGGTTTTGGAGGGGTTTGGTGTAAAGCTATTGAGCAGTGCTGTCAGGAGAGCTGCTCAGCAGCAGCGCAACCTTGATTCCTTCCCTAGGGATGTCTCTAGTCTCAGGGTTTCATCCCTGGTCACCTCCAGACAAACCTCCTGAGCGGCTCAGAGAAGCAACTGCAATACTGGCAGCAGTCACGCTGGGTCCTGGAGCCAGCTCCCATTCACCAAATTATTTTGGAAGTTGTGAGCTTTCATTTGGGTGTTTTACACCCATTCGATTTTTATAGTGGTCATCTGGTTTTCAGCCTTCATTTTACATGTGTGCTTGCTAGGGTGGAGACTTAGAAATAGAAATGGTTTGTTTTGGTTGCAACTGAAAATTGAGACACCCTTCACATGACTTCTGGAGCTGGGAATTCGTAAAGAAAGCTATCACAGATCAGTGTCACCCTCCGTCAGATTGGCCTTAAAATGGTGTCGCACTGAGGAACATGTGTTTTATTCCAGTCCATGTTTGATAAGATCATGTTTTGGTCTCGTTTGGTGGTAGGTCTGTGCTTTCCAGGTGCAGGTAGAGATGTCGTGCTGAGTTTTGCTTTGTTCTTGTCACAGGAGAGGTTGAAGGCGAACGAGCAGCGTGCAGATATGGAAGAGAAGGTGACGAAACGGAGCCTGGACAGTGCCAAATCAGGCCTTTCCTCCTCTGCCCCGGGATTGGTGCACCGAAAACCACCCGTGCTGTCTCCCAGCGCCTCCACATCCTACAGCAAGGCTGTGAGTCCACCTCCCCTCTCTCCCAGGGCCTCACCCGTGTCTGTGCTCAAAGCTGAGGTGATCCAAAAGATGGAGGAGCCACCTTCGCAGCCAGCCTACTCCTACCCCGCCACCCCCAGCTCCCATCCTTCCAGCCCGCCCCCCGCCTCTCCACCCCCTGCCCCTGCCATCCCTCCAAAGGAAGAGGCGCCCGAGACCGTGGAGAAGAAAGACCTGGAGCTGGAAAAAGAGGCTGCTGGTCCGTATCAGGCCTTGTTCCCAGGTAAGAGAGCCCTGCTTTGGCAGAGTCCTGTTGTGTTTGTGCCTGCCTCCCTTTTTCTCCTCAGCTCTTTCCTGCTTCCATCCCTTCCCCTAGAGAAAACCACGTAGCTCCTCTAACAGGCGGGGGAGAGGCAAGGACCAGGGGTGGTGTGATGGACTTGGATCGATGTCTGGATCTTAGGGGTACCTGGGGCTGTAGGCTGTCTTCTTCCCTTGGGTCGAGCCTGGGTTGGTTCCTCCAGGGCTGAAGTCTCAGTGAGAGAAGGATGCAGGAGATAGATCTCTCTCCAGTTGCAGGAGAGTGCTGGAAAGGTGCAGAAGGGACCTCTGGGGTGCTGATGCCTGTGGCAACGTGGCCAGGAGAGAGGTGCCCAAAGCAGCCACTGCTTGAGAACAGGAAGAGATGAGAGATGAAGGGAACCCATCTCTGTGCCTTAGTGAGAGAGGTGCTTTGGAGACCCGGCCATTACACAGCCTGTCCCTTCTGATGTCTTGCAGAGATCCCCCCAGGATATCCATTCCAGTCCCTGCCTCCCTCCTTTGGAAGACATTATCCCTACCTCCTCCAGCCCACCGCAGCATCTGATGCGGATGGCCTGGCTCCTGACGTCCCATTGCCTGCTGAAGGCTCTGAGCACATGGAGCTTTCCCCAGAGGTCAAGCCCATCCACCTGTCTCCGTCCAAAATGCTAGAGCCCATCCAAGCAGCAGCAGAAGAGGAGTCCTTGGAAGACAGGGTGAAATCAGAGGTGCAGATGGAGGAAAGCCAAGAAGGCATCTGTGAGCAGGACATGGGGACTCTGAACATCACCACCTCTGCAGCCGTCCCAGTACAGAATGTGGACAATTGCAATCTCCTGTTGCATCAAGGTGAAGCTCTGGGTGCTATGGAGCAAGACCAGGAAGACCTCCAGAGCTGCCCACCTCCTTACCAGGTTGTGGCCTGCCCTGCAGAAGCAGAGGCTCAGGCAGAGACTGGGAGTGGAGCAGAAACCTGCTCTGTGCACATGGACTACGACGGTTCGCTTGTGCACACGGAAAACGAGCCGCCCGAGATGGACTTGACGCCCCAGCGGGAGGAGGCCTCTGTAGCCATGGATCTGCAGAGCACTGATGTGCCCCGGGGGAGGGAGTTTCCCAGCCTGCCCCCTGAGGAGGGGGAGCAGGGGCCAGAGATCCCTTCCTACACAGAAGAGGCAGTCTCTTGCCAAATCCCAGCTCTGGACATCAAGCCGGGTGACCCGCTGGCTGGAATGAACGCTTTGGTGGCTGCCACAGAAATGCCTCAGGCTTGTTCCTTGTTGACTACCACCAGCGTCACTCCATCCCAGATGAAGGTGGAGGTGTTACCTGATCAGGCCTTGGAGCACTCCTTCCTGCAAGGGATCACTTTGCTGAGTGAAATTGCAGAGATGGAGCTGGAGAAAAGGAAGCAAGAAATACAAAGTAAGTTGTGAGTGCCTAGTCTGGCCAGCCTGGGGCCAGGTTGGGTCTTCCTGCATACGGCCCAGGCGCTCTCTGTGTGGGCAGAGGAGCAGAGGCACACGTGGGATCTCTTGCAACCTCAGCCAGGCAGCAAGGAGAGCATTGCCCTGAGTTGCAGGAGCAGCTGGTACTTTGGATGGGGTTGGAGCAGGGTTTTTGTTGCAGTAGGCTGAGCTACGTGTGGCGTTTGTACTGCTCTCCCCTTCCAAAGGCCCTCGCCATGTCTAGACAGTTCGTGGTATGTGTAGCGGAAACGGAGCCCCACTTGCCGAAAGCTGCCAGGGTAACACCCTTCTGGCAGGCACTGAGTCTACAGTCTGTTGGGGTTTGGCACAAGAGGCCCCAGTAGCTCCAGATGATGCTTTCCAAGAGCTTTGGCAGGTCCTGAAAAGATCTCACCTTCCAGTAACTTCCTGAGGCAAGACGTGATGGGAACTGCCAGTTGCACCATGGCTGGGCACAACAGGAGATCTCAAGTGGGGGCAAAGGTGGCTGGGAGGTGCCATGGTCCAGAAAGGGACATCAGCCTCTCCTTGTGCCTGCTGGAGGAGCGGTCTTGGAGAGTGAACCTCTATAGCTTTTTTTTCCTGTCCTCAGCAGGTCCAGAGAGTTTCCCTGTCCGGCCAACGCTGGAGAGTTTGCTGGCTGCCAGCACCCACATGCTCATGGAAGTACTTTCCACCCCCTTTATGGAAAGTCTGAAAACCATCCGGCTGCCTCGAGAGCTGAATCCCAACAAAAAGTACAGCTGGATGCAGAAGAAAGATGAACCCGTAAGTAGCTCTTAGTGTGGCTGTACCTGAAAAGCCACGGTGCATCCACTCACCGCAGCTTGCTCTTCCAGCCGCAGTTCGCCACCCGGCTTGTGTTGCCCTTCTGCGTTCAGCAAAGCGAGCCAGTGCTTCCCTCTCGTCGTGTTTGTAGCTGCGCAGGAGTCAGTGTGGTGCGATTTAGCTTCCTCCCTTGTTTGTAAATCAACACCATTGATCTCAGCAGGACGCTCGGCAGCCCTAGAAGCAGCGTTTGTAATACAAAGCCAGCAGGAACTTGTATGTTACTGCTTTGGCGGGGTGGGGGGGAATAAATAAAGATAGTGGCAGGAGGGTTTTTCCTTGTTTTTTCTTTGCTGATTCTTCCCCATGGGAGAGACTGACAAATTATTTTGTACCCAGCAAGTAAGTGTTCCAAGACAGGGAATATTATGATCTGTCTTTTTAAATAAGGGAAAAGAGACTCCATGGGTGTATTTTATCCTGCAGGTTCTTCCCCAGGGTTTCTCTCCCTCAAAGCTGATACCGTCCCATGCGTAAGCCACAGAACATCTTTGCTTGGCTGTTTTTGCTTGGGTACTGCTCTAGGTCTGTGCTTGTTGTGGGTGAGGATGCTCTGCTCCACTGTAAGCATGGAAGGCTTCCCTGCCAGGCTTGGGCAGATCTTGGCCATTGCAAGGGCACCCCAGTGTGCACCACCCCCATCTAGGTGGGGGCCTGGACATGTCCTGACCTTCTCGCCCCCTCTTGCCTCCCCACCCCAGATGTACTCCATCAAATCAGCCATCGAGAACATGGATGCAATGGAGCTGGACTACAGAATGAGGCTGGCAGAGCTGCAGCGCCGGTACAAGGAGAAGCAGCGGGAGCTGGTGAAGCTGCAGCGCCGCAGGGACTCTGAGTAAGTCACAGGCTGCTCACTCGGTCTTTTTTTTTTCCAGCTGGGCACTTTCACAGCCTCTCGGTCTGGGAGAGAAAACAGCCCTTCATCCCTCCCTGTCTCCTCTCCTCTCCTCCTGATATGGTCCGCCAGAGCTTTGCACAACACACTCCTAGGCTGTGTGACACAACAACCTGATCACTGGTGAATGCAGCTGGGAGACCGTGTTAGAGACAACCTTGGCTTCAGCAGCTCAGTTTAGCAGTTTGGTGACAGGCGAAGGTTCTGGGTTGGCTCCCATTCTTGCTTGCTTTTTTGAAATTTTTTTCCCTTTTTCTTCTTTTTTGGATTTATTTGCTTTTTTTTTTTTTTTCCTGTTTGTTTTGCTTTTTGGTTGCAAAATTTGATTTTGCTTTTTTTTTTGTTTGCTTTTTTTTGTTGCCTTGGTTAACAGTGAAGCGTGTGGTTTTTTTAAAGGGAAAAGCATGACGAGAAAAGTAGAAGCTTGGCGAGAAGAGGCCCTGGAAGGCCCAGGAAGAGGAAACTTGGATCAAGCGCTCTGTCACCCATTAAGGAGAGAGGGAAGAGTGACAGCAAGAGTGGAAAGTAAGGCTGGAATTTGGGGAAGACGGGAATACGGCAGGGTCACTGCACCAGGGTCTTGCTTGGGGAGAGCATCTTGGATGCAGTGGGGGCTCGCCTTGGCGTTGTGTTGGCAGGATGGTCTCTGGCAGCAGTGGTGTTGTGGAAACGTGCATTTAATGTGAGTGTGTCCTTGCAGTGGGAATATGGTGCCAGCCTCCTCCCTCCCCGCTGGTAGAGCACGTGTCTGTGGTGTTGGGTACAAGTAGGACAGGCTGAGTTGAGCAGCGGTGAGGTGATACGGAGCAGCCGGCTGGGCAGGGACCTGTAGGTGAGCTCATGGTGTCAGGGAGCACGTCCTCGTGTGTTTTCAGGAGAGCGGATGGTGCAAGCGGGTGCTGTAGAGCTAGTTGGTGCTGATGTAAAAAACTGGAAGGACAGGACTGTTCCAGGTTATGTACTTTCTAGGGCCTTTCTGCTGTGTTTCTGCTGTCTTCATCTCCTGTTCCTTTAATCAGTGGGAGTTGGTTTTGCCTGACCTCTCTCTTTCAAGTGTCTGGATCATGCTCTCTTCTGCTTTTTTCTCTTTTGCAAGGCCAGCTGCTCTTGTTTGGATGCCTGGATCTCACCACCATTGGCCATTTAACCATCCATAGATGGCCAGGCCTTTCCAATAGGAAGGCACCTCCAAGCTGCCTCCCTGTGCTATGTATTTTCGCAAATGACCTTTCAAGACAACAAATTACATTCAGGTGCCCAGCTCCCACTGACCATGTGCTTCTGAAAATCTGTCCTCTTGGTGGCTCTGTGTTTTGCTCTTCTTGTTTGGATGGCTGAACAGGCTGAAGGCATCCAGAGGTGACTGGAGTTGTGCATGCGTGCGTGCATGAGCGTGTGGCGTGTGCATGTCCCGCATCGCAAAGAGTAGAGTGGGAGATGGAGATGCACCCTGAGCCAATGTCCAGAGCCTGAGGTGTTGGTTTAGCTGTCTGCAGAGGTCAGCAGACAGGACGGAGGGGAGGGGAAATGCCTGGAAACTGAGGAGGCTGCCCCATGTTAGTGGATTTGTGGTGGTGGTATGATCTGGGCCAGCAGGCTTAGCGTGAAGGAGGCGGTATTTGAGAGCTTTTAATAGAGGCTTGGTAGGGGTCTTGAGGTGTTGACTGATCATCCATCGGATAGTTCCTGGAGACAGCTGGGGAGCAGTGAAAGATGTGCTTATAGTCTCACCTACTTTTTTTTTTTTTTTTTTTAATTATTTGTTTACCCTCTCCTTTCCCCCCAAATCCCAAAGCGAGACCGAAGATGCAGATCACAAATGCCTCTTCGCAGAGGGGCCAGGCTTGTAAAGCAGACTGCCTGTCCTTTGAGCGAGCCGGTCCCTGCAGTGCCCTTGTCCCTCCGTGTCACCCTGCATGGCAGTTCCTTATCACCTCCTTGCTCATACCCGAGCAACCAGAGCAAGTGTCTGGGCAGTGAGGCACCTCCCTGGGCCTCAAGAATCTCTCTCTGCACCTACAGAGTCCATGAAAGTAGAGGTGGGAAGAGACCTACAAGGCCAGCTCAGCTGTCTAGCCTTCCCTCTGCTGCTCTGTACCAAATAGGCACTTTTCGGTGGCTGTTACTCAAGACACCAATTACTTCCTTTCAGAGACCACCTGGCAGGTCTCTGATTTCAGGCACCCTCATCTGTACTGGTGGCCAAGAGTGTGCAAGAAGGGCTCCTTGGCTCTCCTGTTTGGTGGAAAACCTTGTCCAAACTGCTGTCACTTCACAGTGGACTTGGCTCCCATTGAGGATCCCTGCTGTCCTAGGAGGCATTTAACCTTGCTTTTGAGCTTGGTGGGGATCACGGGGAGGAAAGCCCCCCACCTTGACCCATCCTGTGCTTGGCTTGCAGACTGAGCAAGTCCTTGTTGCTCTCCGAAGACTCTGAGACTGGTGAGGGCATGAAGAAGAGGCACAAAGGGGCCCTCCCGGAGGAGGACGAGGATTTGGAGAGCGGCAGTGGCAAGATGAAAGGGAGGAACCAGAGCTGGGAAGAGCACGATGCGGCTCCCAGCTTCTCAAATGAGGTCAGTGCCCTCATGGGGAACATGGAGCCACGGGCCAAAACCAGATCTCTTTCTGCTTTGCTAGTGTTGGCTTGCACTGGATGACTCCTCCTGATCTTAGAGCGTCTGCTCCCAGTTCATGTGGGTTTAGAAGCTCTTCATGAGAGGACTGTTTGTACAGCAGAGGTGTGTTTGCAAAGGCTAATGTTGGCTTATGGAGGTTGGACCTCTTTGGTAGGCAGCAGAAAGGCAAGTGCCTTCTAGACAGCCAGAGCATTGCAGTGTTGCACTAGCTCTGAATCCAGAGCAGTGCTTGTCTTACCCTTTGCCTGTCGAGACAGTGGAGGAGAACTGACTTCCCAAAGTGAGGGAGGGGAAGGGAGCGCAGCCTCGCTATTTTAAATGCAGGGTTTTCTTCTGCTCCTGTTGAGGCAATGAGATATTTACTGGAGCTTTAAGCTGCTGATGAAATCCAAAATGCATACAGGCAAAGTACTGAGTTACAGCTGCTGTTATCTAGCTGTAGCACATGTAAAGTATATTTACTTTTTTCAAGAAGCAAGAAAATACTGAAAAGGGTGTAACAGCCCTGGCTGTAATGCAATTGTGCTGATGCTCTTGCTGAGAGGTATTTGGGTCTTTTTGGCATCCCAGTGTCTGGAGCTCATTGGTTATGTAGAAATGTGTATTTATTTGGCTGGGGTTTTGCGTAAAGAAGATTTTTAATCCTCGTGATTTAGAGAAAAGCTTGTAAAACTAACCCAAACATATCCTAAAAACTAGAAGGTGTTGAGAAAAAAGAACTCCAAAACGTGTTGTTCTATGAACATATTTATTTTGGAAGAAAATTCAATTTTTCTAAGTTAATCTTGCAATTTTGTAGTGCTCTATAAGGGTATAGCTGTGCTGTTTGCTGACATCTTCCTCTTCTTCCTTCCTAGCACCATGGTGGGTTATGACAACTGGGGCTTAAGACCGTCATTTTGAGGCCTTATTAACTAGCGTGCATGAGAGACTGTTACGAGGGGTAGTAAAATCCCTCAGGTCTGCTATGATATCTGCTCTGTATTCACCTGTGTCTCTTCCTTTCACCTCGGCAGTTAAAGCTCAAGAAGAAGAAAGTACCGTCGGATCAAGAGCAGCTGGCCAGCAAGCTTGACAAGGCCCTGTCGCTCACCAAACAAGACAAGCTCAAATCCCCCTTCAAGTTTGCCGACAGCACTGGGGGAAAGCAGAAAACTAGTGGAGGTGGCAGCAGGTACCTCCCACCCCATGAGGCTCTGCCGAGCAAGGAGGAGAAGAAGAGCCTGGCCAAGAACCTGGGCCTGTCACTGAAAACCACCAAGGAAGGTAAAAACAAAGTGGCTGCCAAAATGAAGAAGATGGAGGTGGGGTTAAAAGTCAAAAATCAGCTCAAGGTTTCCCATTCACCAGCAATATCTGAAGTTAGCAGCTACTCCTATAGTAAGTAACCCCTCATTTATCTCTTCTTACAGTGTAATCTGTTGTGGGGGCTTGTGGGTGGGGGTTTCTGGCCTCTTGGAAGGGGTCTTGGAGATGGGTCTGGTTTTCCTCATGAGTGAAAGGTGACCTCCTCCCTGGCTAGTCAATGCTGCTGTGTCTTTGGGGTGAGCATGAGTTGTCCGCCCAACTTGCCATCCAAGAGGTAGCCAGTATCAGTGTGTCTCTTCCTGGCCTGTGTTGTACTGATCGTCGATGGGGAAAAATGCTTTAAAAAAGGTGACCCAAGTTACTGCTTTCGGTGGGAGTAGACACTCTCCTTCTACCTGTCAGATGAGTACTCATAGCCTCTGCTCCAGGAGCTGGTTAACAGTTGACTTTTGAAGTCCTTGTTGAGTTGGGTGGGATCGGCTTTAGGATTATGCCATGGAGTTAGTTGGAAAAGGCAAAGCCTGCCAGGGGGCAATGGTGTTCGTGAGCATCCTCCAGCCCTTCAGTGTTGTGGCTTGGTTCCTGGCTGACTGTGCTCAGCCTTCCCATGTCTCATCATGCTCATCTCCACCTCAGCATCCTGTGTACTGATTGCCATTTCTGAACCCAAAGTGTACCTGGGGCAAAGGTTCCTGCAACTGAGCAGAGCTAGGGACCCTTGTTACAGAAGGAAAAATTGCAGATAGTGTTGGGAAGGCAGTAGAACCCGAAGTAGAAGAGTCTTTAATGGTTCAGGCAGACAATGGGGCAGAGAGCATGTGAGGGACTTGGAGTTTATGGTCTGAGGCCTGGGAGGCCTGGTTGTGTAATTTTCTTAGCTCACTTGCATACGCATCTTTTCCTTTGCTTGCAGCTGTTTAAGTCCCATGTTAAAAGTCTTATGGGGTGTTCGTATGCATAACAAATGTATATCTTCGTGGAGCACCGGTTTAGAAATTTCACTAATGGGGAAGATGATGAGCTAGCGATTCTCCAACTGAACAAATGTTTGGCATGAAATTAGCCATTTACATGGCAAAATAGGAGCCATTGTGTCCACTGGACTTGAACACAGCCTTTGGCTGGTTGTGCTGTACACACCACCCAACAGTGCTGCTCTTGAATGTGCTTCAGTCCCAAGGACAGACATGTGGCTCTAAACTGGGAGCTCTGGAGCTAATGGGGAGAGGAGGCACAGACTGTTGCTGGAGCAAAAAGCCTTGGCTCATGGCAAAAGGGAGCTTTTGCAGTGCCCTGGCATTTGGTACTGTGATTTCATGAACAAAGCCTTCCTCCCAGACCTAAGGGAGCTTCTGTCTGACCGCTCTCCTCTCCAGCAAGTCTCCTGGTGTAGGAATGTGCCCCTTCACCACATGAATCTCAGCACAGGAGGATTGTTGTCACTGAGGAACTGACTCTGAAATGGCTCAGCTTTGGTGTGTGGTTTTTCAGCTGTGTGCAGGTTCAAGAAAAGGGCTTTAGCCTGTCATTTGATCACTCAAGCTTGATGGATTTGGGGAGGCAGGTCGAGCATATGGCAGCACCTCCCATGACTGGTGGGCTGTGGAGGAGGAGAAACGGGACTAGCGCCAAGTCCTTCTGCCTCCTAACCTCATGATTTTCTAGCTGGAGTCCTGAAAACCTTGGGCATAGGTCCAAAGGGCGAGCTGAGCATCCTATTCCCACAGAATTTAACAGAAGTCAGATGGCCAAACTTACTTGCTTATTTGGGCTTTGGGCCTCCTAAACTTGCTATCCCTCATTCCTGCATCTCCACAACCAATGCAGTGGAGGTGGGGAGCGATGCCCGAGCTGAGCTGACACTGGAGAGCATCTGCTGCTGCTCACAGGCTGGAACGGTCCCCGCCACAGTGTCCATAACATTGTGGAGCTGACGGTGTGTACATGAGCTGGGAGGTGACAATTCATACCCGCTTTAATTTATATGGGTACCTTATAGTTCTCTTTCCACTCATCAGATGCCAGAGGGGACCGCTGGATAACTTTTCATTGCCTGCTGGGCTTGACAGCTTTGTAAAGCCACAGTTCACAGACTGAAGAGCGGCTTGGTCCGTGCTCCGTTTTGATGTCCTTTATATTCCACGCTGCAGAGCATCTGGAGTGGCATGTTTGGAGTTAGACATTCGGAGTTAGACGTGTTGCCTGCTTGGCAGCTGGGCTCGCTCCTGCTGCCTGTGTCGAAAATCCTCTGGGAGAGTTGGTTCATGTAGAAAAGGAGATTTAGGTCAGAGTGTTGAACGTAACCATGGTTAAGATTAATTCAGGTCGATGGCCCGGTTGTTGGCATTGCTGCGCCTTCGGTGGACATCTTCATAGCGGAAACATCTACCTCAGTTTTCTGCTTCTGAGCTGAAAACACCCCTTGGATCCTGTCTCAAGGGCGGACAGGAGTCGTTTGGCCTAGGTGGAGAGTGTCTATTTCTGACCGAAAAAAGGAAATACTGTATTTCTGTGTTTATTCAACTCCCACTTGCTAAGCTCGAGACTTGTGGTGGAGGGACCTGGCAGGGGTGGAAAATCATGGCACACAGCCCCTCCTGCAGCCGCTTTCCCCTCCTGGTTTACAGCTTCTTCACAAAGAAATGCAGCAAAGCACCCCCCAAAAAAAACCACCCAAAAAGCTCCAAACCCC